TATATATATAAATATATATATATATATATATATAAATATATATATATTTATTTATATATATATATATATATATATATATATTTATATATTTCTTTGCTTCAAAACGTCTGTTTAAAGTTGTTCCAGGTCCACGTCTCCTCAGAGAGACATCCCCTCTTCTTCTAACAGTCTGTAAACATCCAGAACCTCAGGAGACCAGTTGTTGTAGGTTTTGGAGGACCTGAGGAGTCCAGCTGTTGGAGGTTTTGGACAGAATGTTCCATTCTGCTCTGAGGGATGGTTCTAGCTGTTCAACGGTCCTGGGTCTTCTTTCATGTACTTTTTGTTTCATGGTGTGTCTAATGTTCTCAGTGTGTGGGAGGTCTGGACTTCAGGCAGGTCCGTTCAGGACCTGGACTCTTTTATTCCAAAGCCGTCTTGTTGTTATTGATGCAGTCACTAGTTTAACATTGTCTTCCTGAAATGTGCAAGACCTTCCCTGAAAACATATGCTGTTCTAAAACCTGTTAATACTTCTCTGCATTAGATGAATAAGCAGAGTGTACGAATGCATCCCCATACCATCAGAGAGGCAGATCTTTTAACTAGGCTGGTAACAGCCTGGGTGGTCCCTCTGCTCATTAATAAGGAGGATGTAGCGTCCCAGGTTTCACACAAACTTCAAATTTGAATCCGTCTGTGAACGGAACAGTTCTGGTCCATTTGAAATGAGCTCTGGTCCAGAGGAGACGGCAGCTGCTCTGGGTGGTGTTCACATCTGGCTTCTTCTTTGTCTGATAGAGCTTTAAGCAGCATCTGTGGATGATCTTTGGAAGTGTTCCTGAGCCCAGAACAGGACCAGACCTGGTTTTAATGCAGTGGCCCCTTGAGGCCCCCCAAGATCATGATCTTTGTCTTTTGAGCTCAAAGACGTCTTCAGATTCCTGATGTTCTGTTGTTCCACGTTCTTTAGATGCAGGTTGTCACAGACTGGTGAACCTCTGCCCGTCTTTACCTCCGAGTGATTCAGCCTCTTTAAGAAGCTCGTTCATACCCAGCTGACCAGTCCAGCTGCTTCTTATTTATACCGCTTACTTTTACAGCCTTTTTATGTTTTCCTAAAAACTAAACAATTTCAACATGAGATATGTTTATTGTGTTATTGTGAATAAAATATGGGTGTAACTGTTTGTGGGTCAGAAGTCAGGAATGCAGACTGAAACTGGAGGAACTAGAGCAGAGCTGAAGTAAACGAACAAAACAAATTTAGAATAAAGCTCACAGAGGAGACCTGGACATGGTGCGAGTGCACACGAAGGTGAACTGGTGAGAGGACGGAGACAGAGGAGGTGATGGGAGACAGCTGGGCAAAACCACACAGGGAGCAGGTGTGAGTGGGCGTGGCAGCACTGGAATAAATGAGCCGAGGGCCCAGACGGACAACGAACATAAAGTTCAACCAGAAACACAGATTCTGACTGGGCTTATGAAATGTGTGTATTTTTATTTGTATTTTACAAACGTCCCAAAATGTTCAGAACTGGATTTGTAATTGTCAGACATTTGATAAAAAATCCAACATTGGATGTAGGAATGTGCGATATGGCATAAAATTCATATCACGATATGTATTGTGAAGGGTGGCGGTAACGATATGTATCACGACATGTTTTTGGTATAAAACTTGAAATAGGAATGAAAAAAAGAACAGGGCGTCCTTTTGCCATCATCTATTTTGAAAACTGCTATACCACAAAATAATTTCAGTTAAGAAAATTCCACTACTAGGTCCAGAGAGTTTTTAAATAATAAACAAATCAAGTATTAGTTTTCGTTCTTGTAGTGCAAAACAGTGCAAAAGTTATCAAATGTAGTTTTAGCCATATGTTTCAAACTAAATAATATGTTGTTAACTCTTTAACACTTTCCAGTCTTCTCACTTAATAAATGAACAGCAACAGAGCAGCATTTTACACTGAAACACGTCACCCTCCAACCCTCTAGTGGGCGACTCCTTCTGCTTTAAGGAGAGCTGACACAAAATGGCGTCCAGTTTCCTCTGTGGCTTTGACCAGAGGGTCTCACAGTAAAATCACACAACACAGCGTTCTTTTCACAGATCAGAGAGCAGGTTTCTCTAAAGCTGACCAACGCTTACTTTAACTTTCGATGGGAGAAAAAAACTTTTGATGGAACACAGCATTTTGCGCATATGTCCGAATACGGCAACGCTACGGCAAGCCGGGCGTAGTTAGCTTGTAGCTTTGCTACTTGGCTCTAGAAGAAAATACTTTAACACCACTTATGCACAGTTTTCAACTCAAAAAATGTAACGATTAAACTGACAACTCAGATTTTACATCAGACACAGCATTACTGCGGTTATCAATCAATCAACCTTTATTTATACAGGTAAATCCCATTGAGCCTCGAGGACTCATTTACAAGGTTAGCCGGTAGAAGACAGATCTCTGTCGTAGGCTAAATATCTATCGTTTCTACCGTGTACCGTTTATATCACACATTCCTAATTGGATGTTTTCCTCCAAATGGAAATGGAAGAATTACCGTAACCTCTGGACTATAAGCTGCTACTTCTTTCACACGCTTTGAACCTCGCGGCTTGTACAACGCTGCAGCTGATTTAGGGATTTTTTTTTTTGACGGGTTAACGAACTTCATGCTGCCAAAACATTTAGCCTCGTCACACCCGGGCGCTCACATACCTGCCCAATACACGTCTCTCTTGGGGGGTGAGTCCTCGTGACTCAATGAGACTACCTGTATAAATACAGTAAAACAAAACAACTGACCAGTGAAATTACCAAACAGGTCACAGTGGACCAATGAAATGTGGAGGTACCCCTCCCCAGGGGGACTCCCCTGCATGCGCAGAGCATGTTTTGCTCAAGTCTGCTGGTGGATCCTGACATCGGAGCAGGAGAAGGTGAAGATCACGATCAATGACTTCCTGCTAGGCTGCTGTGTTTATTACTTTATTTAACCAGCCGTGCTTCAGGCGCTGTTCAGAAAAAAAAACATTTACTGTACGAATTTGTGTTTGTTACTGGTACATATTCAATTAAAACTTTTAAAAATCTTTCCGTGTAAATATCGGTTACAACATGAACCCCCAAGCGTGGCCTATATATGTACAAATTTTAAATAAAAAAGTGGGTGTGGCTTATATTCAGGTGCGTTCAGTAGTCCAGAAATTACGGTATTTGCAATATTTTTAATTAAAATTTGTTTCTTTTGTACTCTGCACACCAACAACAGCAAAAGTGCAACATAAAAACACATAAAACAACATAAAAACACATAAAACATAACAAAACATAAAAACACAAGTAGGCTGATACGTCTGTCAGACCTAGAAGAGGAGTCAACCAGGCCTAAAGTTCCTTCTGCTCATGATGGTCTCTGAAGGACCAGGGTCTCCTCACCGTGACACTCCAGGTTCAGCTTGTTTCTGACAGGAACAAGTCTCTGTTAGTGGACATGGAACGAGTCATCGGGCCTTTTCTACGGTGAGGAGACAACTGGTGCCAGTTGCAGGCGGCTGCGGGAGCAGAATGAAAAGCGAAGCGGCGTTTTTACAGATTGTCTGCCGATGGGCCAGCAGGTCAGCTGAACGAGAGCATGGGTCTGATTGTGGGACATTCCTGGAGTGCTTGTCTGAACAGTGTGAAATCCCCAAGGCAAACAGAGGCCACCCACTCCATGAGTGTCACTCACCATCCCCCTGACGAGAACGTCCACCAGCTCGGCACTGTAGCGCTGAAACTGTCCAGTCTGGGCTCTGGCCATGTGCCTTGTCTTTTTCCTCTGGGTCGTAGAAGTTTAGAGCTGCAGCCCGTGGAAGGCATTCCAGAGATGAGTAAAGAAATGGACAGAAGAGGAAGTTCGATGGGGCTGTATTTGAATGTTCTTTGTGCACATGAACACACAAAGGCACCTTGTATCAGCTGAAAGTGCACACAAAGTGATGTCACCACGAGTGAATCGGTTCAATCTGTCTCCGTCCCACAGACAATGAGCACATCTACATGGAGTTGGACCAGAAACTGTCCAAGTACTGCCCCAAGGAGTGGAAGAGAGAAGCCAGCAAGGTGAGAACCAACGTGCAGAATTATCACTTCATGTCGAACATTTAGCACTTTAAATATGTTTAACATTAAAATGTAACCGTGGTGGACATTTCACACCTAGACCTCAGTGGTGTCCTATAAATTCATGTGATGGTGGTTTCTGTAGCTGTGGCATCATAATTATAGTAGGAGTTGACTTTATTCAGGTAGGACACTGAAGGTGTGAGATGATTTACTTACATTCCTCCTTCAAGACTAAAAACACTCATCTGAAAACTACAAACATTCACTGCTCAGATCCGTCAGCGACGAGGAACGTCGGCGTATTGCTTGTTCGTTTTGTAGACCTGTCAGACTGGTAGACACGTCACAGCTGGGAGGTGCTGTACAGCCGTACGGAAAACAAACAAACAAACAAACAAACAAATAATTATTTAAAGACAAAATCCATCCTCCATTCTTTTCCTCAGCGTTCAGTTCTTCCGTGCACACTTCATGACTTCAGGTGAGCGTTGAAACGTAGACGGACCAAACAAATCAAGAGCTTTGCCTTTCAGCTCAACTATTCCTTCACCGCAACAGACCGGAGCAACATGCTCATTACCGTCAATCCAGCTTCACCTTTTTCACTCGTGAAAACCTGCGTTTAAAAACAAACCGTCAGAAACTATTAGTTTTCTCACGACTCTCTCTTTTCATTTTCTTCTGCTGTGAGTTTAACGTTTTTATTATTTTAAGTCCATTTGTTTGTGTTTCAGGGCATTGATCAGTTTGGGCCCCCGATGATCATTCACTTCAGAGCTCAGTATTATGTGGAGAATGGGAGGTTGATCAGGTCAGTAGAGCTTCATATAATTCACCGTAGTACTCCGTAAGGTCAGGTACTTGTACTATCATCGGTCGTCTGAGCTCCAGTTATCCTTTGAGCTCGTTTAAATGTGCTCTCTGCCGTGCAGCGACCGGGTTGCCAGGTATTACTACTACTGGCACCTGAGGAAGCAGGTGCTGCTGTCTCAGTGCATCCAGAGAGAGGAGGCCTACTTCCTGCTGGCAGCCTTCGCTCTTCAGGCTGACCTCGGAAACTTCAAACGCAACAAGCACTTTGGAAAGTACTTTGAGCCTGAAGCCTACTTCCCCCCATGGGTGAGTAGATCCAACACCAAGCACGTGTCAAAAAATGTTTCAAATAACAATTCAGAAGACCTTAAGGGGAAAAATCAGCCATGCATTCATGTTTTTATTTATTTATTTATTTATTTTGCTGCAGTTAATAAAAGTTTTTATTTCTGACGAAGCATAAAAATCCCTTTAATTTTACAAATTTTGTCAGAATTGGTTCAATTGTTCTCATGACCTCACACTAACTTTTCTACATGTTAACATTAAAATATAACAGTGGATTCCTGCAGGAATAAATTCATCTAATGGAGGTTTCTATAGCTCCTAGCTTTCTAAAGCTTCTATAGATCTGTAGCTCCTCCTTCTGTAGTTCCTGAGGGGAAAATCGTCAACGTGAAAATACAATAAATACAACTTTTAATCCCGTTTTCATCACATCCTGAAATAATGCTTTCTTCTCCGTAACGTTTTTTATTTTTGTCGTTCTGTTCGAGCCTCTGTAAAAAAAAGGAGAGCTCATTGCTGGCTGGACGTTGCTGCACAGTTCCACCTCCCGTCTCGTCTTACAAACAGTTTTAGTTTAGATGCAAAGAGCAAAAACTCACTTTCAAGTTGCACAAGTAACATTTAGGATTAAAGTATGTGTTCCACGTTCATGCAGGCAGCAGAACGGTTGGTTTCACCCAGCGCAGGACTTCTTTAGCGCACCGTGCTCCTGCAGCTCGCTCGGATGTCCGGGTCAGAAAAAGTAAAAAATAAATAAATTAGAAACTAGCGTTTCTAGCACAGGTTTAAAAAACAGTTTTTAAAACAGAAAAAGTGATGAAAAAATTAACTTCCGTGTTTGTTCAACCCCTCCAAATGAGAACGTGTAACTTTGACTGAAAACAAGACCTGGGTTTTCGGTTACCGGGTCGGAAAGGTTCGATGAGCTGAGGGGTCTTCACGAAACTCCAGACTGGAATTTTTAACAAATGGTCCAAAAATTAGTTTGGGACAAATTTTTTCCCCTAAAAATTGTCATAAAATTAAAATTTTGTCTTTTAAAAATTTTTTTTTTACTGAACTGTGGAGTTTTATTTATTTACTTATTTTTAACAAAAGACTCTTTATTTTATTTAACCTTTGTTTATTTATTTATTTATTTTCATTCATTCAGCCTTTATTTAAACAGGCTAGTCATACTGAGCCAGTCTGTGAGTCACAAGGACTCTTTTTCAAGAGAGACCTGCTTTAGACAAACAACATGTACAACAATAACTAAAATAAACATATTGTTATTAAAACAATAAAATCAAAGTGCCTTATAAAACAAGGTAAAATACTAAAACGAGAACATATTCGCTTTAATGTTTCTAATGAAAAATAACATGTCTCTTTAGGCCTGTCACGATAACAAATGTTGCTGGGCGATTAATTGTCTCAGAAATTGTGATAAACGATAATATTGTTTGAAATTTGACAATAATTAGTAATTATTGTCAAATTTAAGAAGAAATGTTGGTTAATGTATTTTGCATGTAGTACCTTTTTTGACCACTGGATGGCAGTATAAGACTGTTTGAACCGAAGGATGGATAGTGAGGGAGCGAGCAACGTGTCTCTTTAAGAAAAATGGGAGGGAGGCCCCTTGACGTGACATGGACTCAGTGTTGCCAGGTGTACGATAATTATCGTATTTGTATGACATTTTTGCCCTCTGTACAATCAATAATCCCAAAAAAGGCCAAATATACGATAATTTGACCATTCCTTGAATGTGTGGTTGTAATCGGTTGTCATCAGACTCTCACAACTGTCTGTCCAAGTTTTTTTGTGAACCCTGAAGGCATCTGTGACCACAAACAGATGCACGATTGGCTGGAAATTCCAGCCAATCGTGCTTTTCTTAAATGTGACCTAGGAGTGACGTGTTTGCGTTTGCCTCAGAACAACGGCCATGATTGGCTGAGTAGTCCGCTGCGCCCGCCCCATGAGTGAGGAAAAGAAAAGAAGAAGAAGCAGAGCCGGTCTGGATGCGGACCCATCACTACTATAGTGCATCAATAGATTTGTTATTTTGGTTATTACGGGTGAACGATAATTTCCCTCAAAATACGATAATTTTTTGTCTCTAGTACGATAATCCTACATTTCTCACCTGGCAACACAGCATGGACTGTCTCTCCTTCCTTTGTTTCGGTTCTCAAAATGGCAGATGCTCGGTGTGGTTTGAGCTCTTTAGCATCTTTCACACAAAGCTTTTAATAAAAAATCAGTAAACAAGTTCTCAGCTTCTTTTTACAGAGAAAAACAACTTTTTACACGAAGGCACAGGTTTCAATCGTGAATTTTGGAGCTTCGACAAGACGGAGGGTTTTTTTTTCAGCCTGTTAGCTTAGCTCGTAGCTTAGCTTCTCATCTTAGCTCCTTTTAACGATCCAAAAACGTGATTTTGGATCGTTAAAACTGATTTTAAAGAGAAAAGGAGAGGTGTCTTCAGTAGAAAGAGAGAGACGCGAAGAAACGATAAAGCCGATAAATGAAAATGAGGTTGATAATTTTAATTTATCGTGCGATTAATTGATTTATTGTTTATCGTGACAGGCCTAGGTCTCTCTTGTAAATGAGTCCTCTAGCTCAATGAGACTAACCTGTATAAATAAAGGTTGATTGAAAAAAAGAGAGTTAAAATAAAACAAAAATAATTAAAATTTAATATTTTTATTTCAGGCTGAGATATCTAAAAGAGTCACTAGTTTATTGTGGATAAAAATATTAAAAACAGTATTTATAAGGAGTTAAATAAGGTGGTGATTTTTCCACTGAGGAACACCGTCACAACTTCCAAAGGTTATTTATTCGTTTATTTACATTTTTATTACAATTGAAGTTTGTCAATTTGTCTTTTTTTAACGTAAGAGTTGCTAAATATAAATATATGTAATTACTTGACAAATATAAGAATATTTTGGTTTAGACTGTGACTCAAAAAACCTTTTTCTGTTTATGTTCAAGAATATGGTCACATTCTTATTTAATACATGAGCAAGCACAATAAGGACCCCAGTACTGTAAATAAAACTAAAATTCAATCTGAAGCGTGAAGCTAACGATGGAATGGACCCGCCGAGCGGTAAACCCTTGTGTTGTCTGTGCTGTGGCAGCAAATCAAGCCGAGTGTCCTGCAGTGACGTCACTCACTTCAGTGGCTCCAAACCATAAAACTGTTGAAAGTGTTTTGTCGCAGACGGAGAAGCTGAAGGTCCGTTTGTAGGTCCTCAGTGGGTTCAGAGAGTCCTGACCTGCGGAGCGAACAGACTTCCTGTTATCACACGACCCGACACGAAGCGATGGCTCCAAATCTGAGAACCGAGACTTCAAGCTTATCTTTGTCCTTGACAAAAGAAGACAAAGTTGTTGATGTTTTATTTTAATTTGTTTGTCCCAGTTGACGTGGTTATTCTGGCAGCGCGGGCCCGCCCATCTGATTGCCCTCCACTTCCTGCGATTAGCCTCCAGCTGCTTTATCGCAGCTCAAACTACAAGTTACAGGAAATAGTTGGAAAGTAACCAATGCACACTTCTCTGGAGTAAACCTTCCTCAGATCAGCTACATTACTTCAGAAATCTTCAAAAGGTGCCAGCAGAGCTCCATGGATGTGCCACGTGTTCAACAGAGCTGGACTTAAGGAGGTCGGCCACAACCTTTACAATAAAGACAAAAAAATCTCAAGAAAAAAGTAATTTAATAAATATATTATAAAGTTTACTATATACCAGCGTTCTCAGCCGACCATCTTGTGGGACTTCCTCATTCTCCTCATCCTCTTCCTCCTCAACGGTCTTTGCAGAGGAACTTGTAAAAATTTAAGGCAGAGATGAAGCAAAAAAAATGTTTTGCCTGAAATGTTTTCTACACTTAGAGCAGGGCTGGACGATGTGGCCAAAACTGTTATCACGATATATTTCTTCATTTCGGTCGATAACGATATAATTCCGATATCGATATAAACAATATAAAAACCTCATAAAAACTACAAATAAATTAATGTTCACCTTTTATTTGTGTTTATCCTTCAAAGAAATTTGAAATCACCATCAAATAAACATAAAACTCTCAACTTTGTCAATATTAATAGTTTTAACTTTAAACAAGAACCTAACTATATAACTATAACATAAATATTGGATCTTAGAAAGCCGGACCACTTCCACACCTCCGAATCAGTCTTTCCTCTCGTATCAGTGATGTCATCTGCTTTCTGTTCGCTTGTGAAACCCTGTTCAGTCACATTCTGACGGTCGTGGGAACTCGTTTTAAAGCGGAAACTTAACGCGCGTTCGAGGTTAGCCTAGCCTAGCCTAGCCTGCTATCGCTAACTCCTTCTGGACTCGAGCGCCGCGTAACATCTACGTCACCACGCACTGACGTAGTTGTGTCGCAGCTTTTTCTGTCCAGGTTGAAACTGAAGCTTCGGCCCGAACAGAAAAGGAACTGCGTCAGTGAAACGCTGTAATCATATCGAAATATCGAAAATGTGCTTAAAACTGTTATTGAATATGGATATTGAATTAATGTCCAACCCTAACTTAGAGGTGCCCCCCCGACGATGATGACAGTGCTCCAAACACATTTAATACAAAGTTGATACAAAGGTCCTGGGGATGTCAGGGAGTGGGAGGTGGAGGTGATGGTGCATCAGTTCTGGTCTCTCCCCGGCTGCAGTGAATCGGTCACATGTGAACACAAGACGTTTATGACATGCGGTCACGTTAGGGTAGCGGGGTGTCCTCCTTGGGAAACGGTCCATGAGACCCTGATCGGTCGCCGTGTATCAGACCCGCTCTGCTCTGACTGGGTCAAACCGTGGCTCTGGTTCTTTATTTGTTGAACACGGTGTTAGTTTAATATCTGTTTCATCATTAGAGTGGATGCTTTAACAAGGCCACAACAAAACACTGTTGGTTTTTTTACCCCTTTCGTTTTCACAGATGACGGTAATCTGTCGCTGCGACAGAACTTTAATCCTCGTCTGTTCCACTTGGTTCACCACCGGACAGCATCAAGGCCAGAACTGTTTGTCCGAGACAACAAAAGGTTGTTTCGGACAAGCAGGAACCGTTTGTGTCGACCCCCGGCCACTCTGTGCTGATGATTTCTGCCCGATGACGGGCGGCTTCATTAACCTCTGAGTCTGCGTCACTGCAGGGCGGCTGATGCTTCCTCTGTCTCTTCCTGCTCAGGTGATCACCAAGCGTGGCCGCGAATACATCCTGAGGCACATCCCCAACATGCACAAAGACCAGTTCGCTCTCACAGCTTCAGAGGCGCACCTCAAGTACATTAAAGAGTGCGCGCAGCTCGATGATGTCACAGTCCACTACTACAGACTCTACAGGGTGAGCTTCCTGTGAATACATGAAACGTTGCTGCTTTCAGAGCATAATGGTGATGTTGTCAGTCGTGTAGTAGTTGTTTTTATGTAACGTAGTGTCCCCTCTGTTTATCCGTCCACTGTCCATGCATGTTGCAGGCATGAGAACTCGAAAAATAAGTGAGGTACCTGCTTCCATTTTGTTGTGTGGCTGCATCTAGATGTAAGAAAGATCACTATCGTGGGTTGCCATGAATCAAAACCACCATTTATATTTGTAAACGGTCACCTCTATCATTAAAGGAAACTGTGCTTTCTAGTTTTTATATTGCTTATAGTTTTCTCAAATGATTGGGGTGGCCAAAGATTAATAGTGGCCAAGGCCACCATTGGCCACCCCTTGGCTCCACCCCCTGGTGGTGGATTTAATTGCTCCCTCCACTCCAGGGTCTGTCACTCTGCGTCACCTCAGACAAGAAAAAAGAACTTCCCTCTGCTCTCCACAGAGGAACTTCTACCCACTTCAATATCTTGCACCGAAAACATTTAGGTTTACTTTCATTCTCTGTTTAATTCTAGTCCAGAAAAACTCTCATTTCCAAATTCACTCTTCAAATCCCTCAGAGTCGGGGGACACTGTTGTACAGCTTGTGTTCATTTTGTCTCGTTTTCTTTACTTTTGTGCACGTCTGACTCGGTTTTTATCATCAGGACAAAAAAGAAGTGGAGGCGTCTCTCACGTTGGGCTTGACTTTACGAGGAATCCAAATATTTCAGGTGCGTTTTCTTCCTAACACTTCATTTACGTTTGTCCTGAAATATGTGTGCATCAGTGGTGCCACGCTGCCGAACATCCACTCATTGTTCTTAACGTACAAAACAAGTATTGGGAAACTTTTATTGTGTAAATACTGATTCCTGTTTTTTGATTTGTTGTGTTTTTTTTATCTAAATACTTCACACGTCAAAGTCAGCTCAATCATTTATTTATTTATTTATTTGTTTGTTTATTTATTTATTTATTTATTTGTTTATTTATTTGTTTGATAGGGACAGGTACAAGAAACATAGATCAAAACAATCTAATGCCTGCATCACAGTGTATATAGCCAAAGCTAATTTGCAACACCCGTCCCTAGATGGGCCAAGGTATTTGAATTCAGCCACAGACTTAATTTTTTTCATTTTGTAAATTAACATTAAATTTTTCTTTTAAATCAAGTTTTCTTATTGAGAAACACATGGAGACTGTGTTTGAAACCTTCAGAACTGGCTGATTTTGCATGAGCCACTGTTGGATGTCAGACATACAGTTGGATAATAACTCTGCAGCTTGTTCTGGTGACTTAGCGGGCGCATAAAGAACTGCATCGTCCGCATAGAGTTGACAGTTGACACCTGAGCAGTGCCTAGGCAAGTCGTTTATGAAGAGACTAAACAGCAAAGGGCCAAGTATCGAGCCTTGCGGGATGCCCTTTTTTAAGTTCAAAAATCCAGATATGTCTTGATCTAATTCAACACACTGAGCTCTAGGCTGAACTCAGGAACTAAGACTTTTATACTTTTGAAAATATTTCACTTTATTAAGAAATATTTTCCCTACAGAAAAACATAAAAAAAAAACCACTTGACATCCAAATGTCTGTGGTAAAAATCACCCCAGTGCTTTCAGCTATTAGCTTCTCAATGACGTCGGAAATGATGGCTTGTAACTCGGGCAAGGCTACGTCGGAAAAGTATCTCCGACCCTATCCTCAATGAAAAAAAAACTTCCACACTGCCGACATTTTGACTTCTTTAACTTTAACGCTAATATCGGCCAATACCGATACCATGCCGATAATATTGTGCATCCCTGTTTTTACTACTTAACCCTACTACTTTTAGCTGTTCACCAGTTTTTTGACACATTTAGCTTGTAGACAATATTTTCATACGTTTTGTTCCGTTAAAGAAACTCAGACTTGCTGACCAGAACTCGATATTTAGAAACCTGAGGATGAAACATCATTAATCCTGCTGCTGCCCTTGGGTCAAAGTGACCTACAAGGCTCAAGTTTTAAAACGGATGCCTTGTGGGTCATTAAGAGGAGACAAACTGGAGCAACTATGAATGTCAGGATCAATGACTGGAGAATCACAAAATGCTGAAATAAAGTCGTTCCAATCGACAGCGACTCAAATTTTCATCGGTGAAAAGCTCAGGAAGAAATCTAACGTTCTTTTGTTTGTTTTGCTATTTTACAGACAAAAGCCTGATTCAAAACGAAGAAATAACTGATTCAGTTATTAATAGGCGTGTCGCGATAAACAATAAATCCAATTAATCTCATGATAAATTAAAATTATCAACCTCATTTTCATTTATCGTCTTTATCATTTCTTCGTGTCTCTCTCTTTCTGAAGACACTGGATGACAAAAGGCTCAACTCCGGTGCTCTTCACTGACCCCGCCCTTTCTCAGGTTTAACCGTTCAAAATAAAGATTTTGGATTGATAAAAGCAGCTAAGCTGTGAAGCTAAGCTGTGAAGCTAAGCTACGAGCTAAGCTAACAGGCCGACCTCGGGAAAAAAACCCTCCGTCTTGTTGAATCTCCAAAATTCACAGTTGAAACTCGTGCCTTCGTGTAAAAAGTTGTTTTTCTCTGCAAAAAGAAGCTGAAAACTTGTTTACTGGTTTTTATTAAAAGCTTTTTGTGACAAATACTATTTAAAGAGCTCAAACCACACAGAGCATCGGCCATTTTGAGAACCGAAAAACAGGAAAGAGAGACAACCCATGTCACGTCAAGGGTCCTCCCTCCCATTTTTCTTAAAGAGCCACGTGCTTGCTCCCTCACTATCCATCCTTTTGTTCAAACTGTCTTATACTGCCATCTGGTGGTCAAAAAAGGTACTACACACAAAACAAATTACCAACATTTCTTCTTAAATTTGACAATAACGACTAAATATTGTTAAATTTCAAACAATATTATCGTTTATCGCAATAATTTCTGAGACAATTAATCGCCCAGTAAAATTTGTTATTGTGACAGGCCTAATCATTAGACAAGTTGTTAGTTGTAGCCAAAAGGAATTCTTGATTCAGGGAAATTTACACAACAAATTAATTGTCATACACCAGACTGCCGTACTTTACTTCATTTAAAACAGAAAATAATGTTTAATTTAATCTGCTGAGCTGAATCAACACGTTTCTTTTCTTCCTGCCTTTCAGAACGTTGGCTCTGTGAGGCAGCTGTTGTACGACTTCCCCTGGTCCAACGTGGGGAAACTGGTGTTTGTGGTGAGTCAATCAACGTCATAGCTTGTACCCCAGAAGAAAAAGAAGTTTTTCGTCAGCGCTGTACGTCTGTTTCTGTTGCAGTGTTTTTTAACCAAGTTCAGTGTTGATCAAACCTGGAGCTGATGAAACCTAAACTCCTGTTCAGGGTTGTGGAAATTCTTATATAAGGCTTATTTTCTCTTCACTGCTGTTTTATCTTAGCCTGCAAGTCCTCTGGAACTAATCGGGGATTTTGAAAGACTTTTCTTGCACACACACACACACACACACACACACACACACACACACACACACACAGTAATGCACACTACGCTGCATACGTACTGTCATGTAGTCAGCAACAGCATATTTTGTCAATTTGTTTAATGGTGTTTTGTGGCTGTGTGGCCCTTAAAGGACACGTCAAACCCTCTAATCTCTGCTCTGAGTCAGTTTGTCGTTGAGCTTAACGCAGCGGGCGCTAAATTCTGTAGGCTTTCTGTTATCGCAGCGAGGCAGGGGGGGCTTACATTACTGCACTTCTCCCAAGTTTCTCGCTGTAGGGTGGGTACGTTGGGCTGGTGGTGCTGATCACCAGGACAGAAAAATTTGAGTTTATGTTTGGGTTTTATCAACAGCAACAAATGTAACATTTGAACATAAATAATACGTTTAAATACACAAACTAAAGTGAGCAGCTTTCTCCCTGCAGTGTGCACATCAAGGCTCCTCAAAGAACTCCTCCTGGTGTAAAAAAAACTACAGATTTTTGTCTCCTGTCGTGGAGAAAAACTGGGAAATGGAAAGACCCTCCAGTGTTTCCAGTAGGTCACCTGCCTTGGCAGTGGACGGAGACATATCTGTGTTGCGCACTAGTGCCAGCAAGTGGGGGCGCGCATGTATTGTGCACCGCTAGCTTAGCACCACGTCAGTGCCAGCAGTGGGGGGGGTGGGTTGAAGGACATTTTGGTAGGCGGGGCTCTCAGTGCCCTCCTTGGGTAACGGCAGGGGAAACACTGCCCTCCATCTTTACGTCAGTTTAGGTACCAGCTGAAGTTTTGGTGTGTGGCTGCATCTTGGTGTGAGAAAGGCTCCTTCTGAAACTTGGGTTGCCATGTCAAAATCCAAGATGGCCGCTGCCATGTCGCTATATATAAGCTGAACACCCCTATCATGTTAGGAAACTATACTTTGAAGCAATATAAAAACTAGAAAGCATAGTTTCCTCAAAAGACTGGAGTGGCCTTTGAGGTGGCCGAAGATTAATCTATGGTGACCATGGCCACCTTTGGCCACCCCCTGACTCCACCACTGCTCCTGGGGGTGGATAAGATTGCTCCCTCCTCTCTCCAGGATCCGTCACTCTGCTCTGCCTCAGACAAGAAAAACAAAAGCTCCTCTGTCCTACACAGTGAAACTCCTGCCATCTTGAATATCTTGAACCAACATTAAAGTTCCCAGTTCTATTCCAGTCCAGAAAAAACACTCGTCTCCAAAACTACAAACATTCACTGTTCCAGTCCCTCAGCGGTGGGGGACCTCGGTGTACCGCTTGTTTACCTGAGAGAAGAAGTAAAAGCCTGTAAGATATCTCAGAAAGGTTGGAGTTTTGTGTGACTTTGTTCTGATTTTAGCACAAACATCTGCAGCATCTGCCTCTGGGCTCAGATCAGACTTCCTGTTTTCCTCACGTTCGTTTTTGTGCGGTGATTTCTGTCCGTCTGGAGCGTTGTGAGTGAGCGAGCGGCGGCGCGTTTGTGGTTTCACCGGGGACCAGAAGGGTTTCTTGCCGCCCCCGTCACACCCTTCTCCAGAGTAGCCGGCTTTCTCCTTCCACCCCACCCTAGAGTGTCGTCATCCACCACCGCTGTCACCGCCAGCAGGCGAGCCTGAAAGTGGCGCAAGCAGAGGGACTGGGTCAATAAACACCAGATGTTGGGACTGTTTTAGGTGGATTTTAGATTCTGGTTTCTAGCTTTTCAAAATCCTCTTCACTGTCAAAGTTTAAAATAAGAACGTATTCTGCTGCTTCGGTGCTTCCTGTTAGCCAGTTAGCTTTCAAAGTGCAGCTCGAATGAAGTCGTGTTCAGTGTTGGGACGAGGCTCTTCAGTGCTTTGACTGATGCTGCTCTTGTTCGTGGATATTTAGGTACAACCCCAAGTCGGGGTGTTGTTTTCAACATAAATTAAACCAAAGTACAACGATATGCAAATGTCATAAACCTTTATTTTAATTCACAGTAGAAAAGAGTAAACTTTTCAGATGTAAATAAATGTAATGTACAAAGACATTGTATCAGTTTTATGAATAATTTGGGTAAATTTGAATTTGCAGTGATGCATTGAACAAAAGTTGTTCCAGAGGCAACAAAAGTCTCTAAAAGGTAGTGGTACGATTTACAAACAGCTGGAGGAGGATTTTACAATGAACCGTGTTAAAGAGCAACAGGTCAGTGAGAGGACGGTAGAAAAGAGACTGAATCTCTTCGGAGGAAAGCTGTGCAGAGGTTCACCAGGCTGCACAAACAGTGTCTAAAACTAGTGGATTCACTTCAAAATAATGTTCTACAGTCGGCGGCGCAGTGGCTCTGTTGGTAGAGCGGTTGTCTCTCAGCAAGAAGGTTGTTGGACCAAATCCCGGCCGGGGCTTTTCTGGGTGGAGTTTGCATGTTCTCTTCATGTGTGCGTGAGTTTTTTCCCACCACAGACCAAAAACATGCATGTTAGGATGATGGGTAACTCTAAATTGTCCCTAGGTGAGAGAGAGAGTGAATGGTTGTTTGTCTCTGTGTCCCTGTGATGGACTGGAGACCTGTCCAGGGTGTCCTCCGCCTCACACACACTGACTGCTGGATATGGGCACCCATGACCCCGTGACCCAAAAAGGAAGAAACGAGTAAAGATGATGGATGGATGGATGGATGGATGGATGGATGGATGGATGGATGGATGGACAGATTGGATGAACGTACATACTGATGGATGGATGGATGGAGTGATGATTGACAGATGGATGGAGGACAGATGGGTGG